ACTGCTGTAACCGAATTAAATTTTATTTCCTTTAATACTGAGCCTAGGAACTTTGAAATCCAATTGCTGGATTTAAAAAACAAAGAATTATGGAACTCGAAATTTGAACGTCTTAGCGCTGATATAGAAACACTGGAGAAAAACAAATGTGAGCTTAGTTTTCGCAGCACAAGGTGGTCTGCTTTGAAAGACTGCGGAAGGAAGATATGTTGATTTTTAACACATGAAATCGTATTCCTAACTCATAATCAGCTGAAAAAAACTAGCGTTTGCTATTCTTTCCTTATTCGGGTTTACATATTGATGCGAACAATCATTTTCAAGCATGAACCTTACCGGAACCTTACACTAAATTGAGAAGTCGTTTTGTTGATGAGAACTTGGAATTATGCTTAAAATTAAAAACAACATACAAACCTGAGTTACACAAGCTTAAAAATTGAAGTATTAAAGTTAATTTTAGAGGGTGTTGTACAGTGAAAAAACATACAATGTTGAGAATTGAGAAAGGTATGTTTAGATCGTTTAGCCACATAAAGAGGATGAACAGAAGAAGACACACGAAATGAGTATACAGTATAAGTGTGGATGAGAACTAGAAGAGGGTTGACCTCAGTAAACGTAATTTGATCAGACTGAGGACGCTCTTAGTAACAGCCAGCGTAAGAGTACTCTAATTAAGTGAAACGTATATAACGTGGTCTGGTACTTGCTAGGCGTTCAAACCGACCCTCTTTTCCAAACCTTTTGAAATCTCTTTTGAGAGCCTCATTTTTTAAACTTCAATTATATAGGAACAACCTTCTTTTAAGAGATGTGTACCCATTACGTACATGTATGATCTGAGAATTGATTGAAGTGTTTAACATTGTAAAAAAGATTACCATGGGCCACCATTTTACACAGACGAGCCGTACATTTTATCTACAGTATCTACTCTTAACTTGGTTTTATTGTAAAACGTGATTATTTCTGGTTTCTGTTTTTGGCAGTAGAAAGATTAATAGCTTGGTCATCATGCAATGATGATATAAGAACGGCATTTTTGTTTTTTCTCGGAACGTAGGTCCCGAAAACAATACCATCACTACTAAAGTCAAAATTAGTTGTGGTCTAGCTTGTCCCAAATAAAAGTCAGTATTTTCTTCAATGTCGTCTTCTTCGCCTCCCTCTTGTTCTATCTCTGATCTCTCTTCACATTCCTCTACACCAACTTCTGAATCAATATAGCTTTCAACATCAAACTCTTCATCTGATGCCTCCAATAAACGATAAATTTCTTCAAGGTCTTGAAAGTTTCTCAAATAATTTAAAAAAAAAAAAAAAAAAACATTTTGAAGCCTGAATCAAACAAGTATTTATAATGTCGTTATAATAATGTCTTTGTCAAATTTTGTAATAAGCAATATTTTGAATTATTGAAACATTTTACAATTCATGACATGATCAGGCGCAATGTGCCCATAGCCCAAAAAAATACTCAGTTTTGTAGACAATCATAAAATATTTTATTATATAAAATTGCTAACCAAAAAAATGTGATACAGTAATAATAAAACAGAAAACTTACTTGTTAAATTGTAACATTATCGGGCGCAATCAGCCTATTAGATCATTTCATTTCACAACTGGAAATGAAAAAATATATTCACTGACTGCCAGTGGCACTAGAAGATGGAAAACTAACTGGATTGAGAAGAAGTGGCAACGTTTGAAGAAGGCAAGCCAAACGAAAGTGCTCAAGGTGTGTGTGTCTAGCAGATCAAATGCGCCCGACGGAGTGTTAAAAAAATTTCTTATACAAATAGCACATATCTGCTTCTTTAATTGACTATAAAAATGTGTTTTAATATACATATCTGTAAAATGCCTGCCATTTATACATTACAAGCAAATAGCACATATTTGCTTCTTTAATTGACTATAAAAATGTGTTTTAATATTACATTTTCTTCTTTAACTTGACATTAGGATTTTTTGGAAGCCAGAGAGATGAAAATTAGCAACCGCCTTCGCCGCGAATCGAACCACGGACCTCTGTAATACCGGCCCAGCGTGCTACCGTTACATCACGAAGGCACGCTAAGGAAGTGGGAGAAATACCTTATATATTCCACTTTTTAAAGGGCGACTAGGGTTTTAGGGGACCTAGTCGCCAAATCCTGAGTGCGGAGAATCATCATCCACAACCCTTTTAGTTCGGGCGCCACTGTAGAGTCATTAGGTTAATTGGAAGCAAAAAAGTTGAAATATACGCAACCGTCTTCGCCGGGAATCGAACCACGGACCTCTGGAATACCGACCCAGCGTGCTACCGTTACACCACGAAGGCACGCTAGGGAATAGGGAGAAATACCTTATAAACTGACTATAAAAATGTGTTTAAATATACATATTTGTAAAATGCCTGCCATTTATACATTACAAGCAATGTAATGTATAAAATGGTAATGTATAAATGGCAGGCAAGCCATTTATACATTACATTGCCATGCGTAATGTATATATATACATTACAAGCAATGTAATGTATTTTACAGAAATTACAATTTCTGTAAAATGCCTGTTATCATAGAATAACAGACATTTTACAGAAAGCCGAAACTTGGGCATCCAAGTATGAGACGACTGGCATTTCTTACATTTCCTACACATTTTATACGATGCCAGAAGACCAAAGTGACCAATGGTTTCTAATGTCGTATTATGACAAGTGTCTTCCTCACACAGAATTCTCAATTTGTATTTCAGTCAGTGTTCCGAAGTGATGAAATGAATTACTTTACTCAGCAAAGACTGAAAAGTTAATAGTTTTTTAAACTATGCTTATACCATTAATGGTACATATTATTTCGACGACGCCATTTTCATACAGAAGGTTTAAATGAATGCTCAAAATGAATGTAAATTAGCATCTTTTTTGGCAGTCATATTTTTTGCTCTTTTTAATGTGGTACAAAATTTGAAAATATATGCTTCAGCCCATACTGAGCTGTATAAAATGGAAGAAAATCTAATGTCCGAAAATGAATTACGGCACATTGGTATGCAACGACGATTCTACGACGATCTGTCTACACTTCGAGCTAATGCTGCAACAAAATAGTGTTTTTCGAAACTACTTACCATAATAATTTCTGAACAATGTAAAAAAAAAAGTCAGGACGACTACTAAGAACAAACATAAGACTAGTGGCTATTTAATCGCTAAATGATGTGATGACAGTGGGTAACGAAAGTCCTATCATAGAAGCCATCCTACAGAATGAATGCACATCTTTTTCAATAAAAGCCTTTACATGACTCTTGACATTCTGCCTAAACATGCCATTCTATGTAATACCTAGGTATTAAATACAGTGCCTAGGAAAAGTGATGCTACAATGTCTATGAAAAGTGATAATTTAGTATAATATTGTAATAATTCATATATTTCACATTTTCCCCCAAAAAGGCAGACATCCTATGTATTACTTCGGCATTCTACAAACTGCCAACTTTTTCGGAAGAAGTACGATATATGTCGCAACATAAAAATTATTAGTTCTATATTAATGATTTTTCATTACCGTTAAGTAAAAAAGACGGTATTATTTCATTGAATTCAATTTACTGTTCTTTCTTCTGCAACTTTCATCAAAACTCTACAACTCTACGTCTGAAAATCCGTCTTTCTCAATTCTGCAAGAACGATGATTAAAAAAATAAAAATACATTTTGAAATGATAAAAAATAGATGGCATACACGGATTCGGTTGCTTATCATCCGAAGACGGTTTCGCAAGGCATTCAGCAAACCACTATGTTTCAGAACACACTAATAGGTACAAATAATTAATCAATGATTATTTTAAGTTAATCACAGAACAATCTAAAAAACAACAAACTGATGAGCAGGGATCATGTGTTTGTCCTTATTTGTTCACCTAGAAATTATGACATTAGTTTTACGTTCGTAAATTTTATTTATAATAAAGTACTACTTCAATTATATAGAAGTCGTAGTAGTCACTCTGACCTCTACAGCAATCTGGCACTCTATGCTGTAAAGTTTATAAATACAGCAACTGGCGCGAAACAAATAAAAAAAAAATTCCACACTTTTGGCGACGCCAGGGTATAAACATAGATATAAAATGTAGCAACCCTTTTCTCCCAATGGCACATTGCAGCAGTGGCGCCGACCACCATGCCCTTCCTGGCCCACTGCGCTACTTCAGAACATTTTTGTTGCTTTTTCGCCCTTCGATAGCAGTGTAACATTATTACACGCCAGGCGTGACGAAACTGCAGCTCGCGAAGCGCGGGCTCTTTTATGCATCAGAGGGACGGGTTCAGAGTTTTTTAAGCCGAAAAAAGGATCCGGTTAAGTACCTTTGAAAATGGTTGAAAGGAGAATCCGACATTTTTTTGGCAGACATAATACAAACTTTTTTTTTTTTTTTTTTTTTTTTTTTTTTTTTTCAATGACTTAACATATAATACAGGAAATTTAGGTAGAAGATGCATCAGTCAAAATATTACAAATTTAATAAACATCAGTCGGTACTACGCCAAAAATCTATAAAATCATTATTTCGAGAATGGAGAAACAGCTTTGGAAAAAATTACAAATTCGAATTATATGCATCTCTCTCTTTCCTGACATAGTGTACAACAGTAAAAAGATCGATAATGTATTTATGCAATACAGAAACATGCAGATTCATATTTCTGGCGTGGTGCCGACATAACAGCCGAAAATATACTGAATTGTAACAGAAAAATTTCTTGAAAATTCATAATTTCATTTGAAACATATAATAAATACACACACACACATATATTTATATATACACGTATTGTATGCATAATATATTTACATAGTATATGCATACCTTCGCTTCGCGAAAAAGTGCGCCTTCCGGAGTTCTTTTCTTCCCACCTTCCCTTTTTTAAGCAAACAAATTACCTTGCTTCCGATTAACGAAGTTCACTTGGAAAAAATTTGAAGAAAAAAAAAAATGTAAGCAATTTAATATTTTTTATATGAGAACTGCAACAAGTATAACTTTAATTGTGAACGAAGATACATGTTTATATAATTTTTGCAGATTACAGCATTTCTGATAGATGTTCTGCCGGAATTTGGTGGAAGACTTTATTTTGAAAACAATGTTTCAGTTACAAGCTATTTTCTCCTTCCTTCCAGTATGCCTTTGTGGTGTAACGGTAGAACACTTGGCGCGTATTCCAGAGGTCCAGGTTCGTCATGACGGCGAGAGCATTACATATTTTCCACATCTCCTGCTTCCAAAATAACTTAATGACTTTACAGTGGCGCCCGATTTAAATGGTGCTGTGCAATAATTCGTCACCATCAGGATTTGGCGACTGGGTCCCCTAATTCCTAGTCGCCCTTTAAAAGGGAGAATATATAAGGTACTTTCTCCCTCCTTCCAGCATGCCTTGGTGGTAGAATACTGGGCGCAAAGCACGCGACATATTCCGACTTGTCGCTGGAACAAAAATCAATATTAAAATGAATTATTATAAACACCTATTAAATTCTAATACATGATATACATTCTTCCATTTATACACAACAGGTTCTGCCCCTTTCCTATCGAATCTCCAAAATCGACTCGATTCTGTCGCCATGTTTTAAATTTGTCGGCTTGTTCATTCTCTTTTCAATGAAAGTACTCTGTAAACATTTTATTCCCATTCGTATGCATTATGTCATTCATTCTTTTAAAGTAATTTGAGAATTCAAGGAATGTCTGGCATGATTTGACAATTCTCTGAAATCCAGAAACTATCAAAGCGTTTTTCAATGTAAATTAATGGTAACTGCTGCGTGACTTTACGAAACATTTCCCCCCGAACAATAATTTCGCATAGCGGGGTAAATATTTTAACCCTTAACTCTTTCTGCTTGGGAGATTCTCCTCGTTTTTATTCATTCCAGAAATAGCCACCTTCCTCCGCCATTTACTTCATGCGTCATTCCTCAGTTAAATGTTTCCGTTTCCTTTCCGAACTCAGTTATATAATGCGTGCCATAACGTTCATTTAAAACCCATTAGCAGTAGAAGCAAGTGTAGAAGACGTATTCGGTATTGTTATCATCAAAGCGGAACCATAACCAGTAGCGTAAATACAGTAGTAATAAGATCTGAGGAAATATCGAGTAATTGCTTAAAAGTGAAATAGTCTTCAAATTGAATGATCTAGCCTCTGATTCTGATGTCTAAAGGATGTTAAGTTTGCGCTCTCAGCGTTCTAGTTTTAAATACTCGGTCTTTTCCCGTTGCGTATTTCTCAATAATGGTCATGTCGATTACTTAAAATATTAGTATATAACTCGTAGACCATATGCGGTTCGAGTGGTACACCTAAAAAATGAAGGAAAAGATCAGAACGTGCCATAATGAATTTGCAAAGAACAGACCATATGCGGTTCGAGTGGTACACCTAAAAAATGAAGGAAAAGATCAGAACGTGCCATAATGAATTTGCAAAGAACAACTCGTTTCAATATTTCAGCGGCAGGGGTTAAAAATTCGGCTAAACGGTCAATGGAACCAAACTTTTTAATTTTTGAATAAAATTATTCTAGTCGTAGCCACAAATAAGACCTCCTCCAGTGCTTTCTTATAAAACGGATCCGCAACATTAATAGAAAATTACGTTTATTACTGCAATATATTATTTAGTAACTTATATTTATACTAGATACGGATATATGTATCTCACTTTAAAAGAAAGTATACGGCTGCAATCCCTAAGCAACTTATAATTTGTTCACGCGTCTTTATTAGAATTTTGTAAGTTAAACCTCACTGAAGAAAAATGTCCGGCTCTTCATAAACATAACCTGTATGAAACAAACAAGCAAGCAAAAAAATGTGTATAATTTAATAGGCCGCAAAGAAGCAAATCATGTGGTGTCCCCATCAGATTTTGTTCATTTATATTGGCATCAAGGATAACATTTCGGTACCACCAGCATTTTTTGCTTTATGCTATTGACGGCGATAAAATACCACTCAAAACGCACTAAATGGTAAGTAAATCTTCTTTTTAATAATTCTTAAAAAATGCGATGCTGTAAAAAATGCGATGAAAGGAAGTTCAAGAAATTTAAATAAAAGTAAACAATACTTTAAAACACACAAGCTTTACAAACTTAAAAAAGACAATAATTCTCTTTAAAATTGAAATTTAGAAAGTATATATATATACAAATGGACTAAAATATATATTCTTTTCATAAACTTGAAGTCATGCAATACACTGCTAAAGGACAAATGCTTGCGAAACTGTCTAATGACGCATCCATTCATATCTATCCTAATAAACTACAGCGTCCACACATCTTGGTAATGACTTTGAAAAACTGGAAATGAGAAGGTGGTACTGACTCTAAAACAACCTAAAAGAGGCAGAGTAAGTATCCACAGCTGAAGGGTGGTATTCGCGACCTCCTGATCTTTGATTACGTCCCATGCAGTCTCAAATGGGTTAAGGCCAATCTCAGGGCCATTTACTGTATTAAGCTCATTCGAATTCTCTTCTAGTCAGCAAACTGCCAATCAGAAACGAATAAAGTATGGCCCTTTCTTAAAATCTGCAATATTAAAACGAAAGACAATATTATGAATGACTGTAGGGGATTAACAGGGATATTCGCTTAACTTGTGACAGAAATTTTCATGAACTAAGGGATCCCGAGGATTCAGTAAACGGTTCCAATTCATGTTACATCAAATCTCAGTCGTTTATATTTTTCACTCTGATAAGAATATATTGCTGTTTGTTACGCCCCGCTCACTTGTAGTTAGTTCATTAGACATTGATCAGACGATCTGTTGGCGCATTTACGCCAACGAATCTCGCCAAATTATCGCCTCCTGCGATTGAGGCAACATACTTGAAGAAGAAATCTAACCGGTCTGACGTGAGCAATTACTTGTAACCGAAGCTCACAATTAAATTGTATTTTGCTTCACTGTAAATATTTGTATATGATGTTTTTCTAAATAAAATAATTAAAAACGAAGCAGTGAAAGCTGGTCCGTCGATAAAAAATAACCTTTAAGAAAAATAAGTTTACTCATCTGGTCCGTCGAGCCGGAGCCTACTTCAGCGGTATGGATATATTAATGAAAAGCAAAGCATCCCTAAAGGGGAAAATAACTAGATTCGAAACTTTTGTGCAAACTGCAAATAATGATGTGGACTTAGTTGAACTTAAAGTTAAACTAAAGAACATTCAAGCTCTTCAAAAGAAAGTTGATGAACTACGAAGTGCGTGCTACGCACAAAGTGAAATGAAAGATGATGATCTGACCAAAATTGATGACGACTTAAACCAATGTGATGATCGTCTGGAAAAATTGGAGGTAAGAATTGAAATTCTCATTAATTCTTACAATAAGTTAAATTCTGCAAAAGCAGTAAATGTTACTGAAAGTAATGTAGATGAAAATTTTCAAATCAAATAAAATCCCAGCGTTAGTTTTGCCTGAATTTTCAGGAAAATATGAAGAATTTAGTTCATTTAAAACTCAATTTGATGATTTAATTACAAATAATGTTCAGCTGAGTCATTCACAGAAATTGTATTATCTAAGATCTTGTCTTACTAATGATGCTAAGCATTTAGGTAGTAACTTTGATAATTTTGAATCTTTGTACAATGCTTTAGAATCTCGCTATGATAATGAACGTCTGATTGTTGACATTCATGTGCAGAATATTTTAAATTTTGAAAAGATTCAATCCGAAAATGCGAAAGATATCAGAAGTATGATTGATTGTATACAAAAGAATTTACGCGCTTTGAAAGTATTAAAATATGAACAGAACAAGTTATGTGATGTTTTTCTAATAAATATTCTTCTTCAAAAACTAGATAAAGAATCTAGAAAAAATTTTGAATTATCTCACAAATCGAAAGTAGTTCCAACATTTGACGAGTTTATTAGATTTTGGAACAGCGTGAATCAGTTTGTTATCTATAAATAGAAATATTACACCCGGAAGTAGGGTTAATATAATAAGAATTCCACTCCTTCCCATAAATCGAAGGTTCTTTTTACAAATGAAAATAAAAGTAAAAACTGTGTTGTGTGTAGGAGTTTTCATCCTATTTTCCTTTGCGATACATTCTTAAAGTGTTCATGAAAGATTAAAATTAATTCGTTCACATAAACTCTGCGAATTATGTCTAAGGCAAAATCATAAGAAAAGTCAAAGTCTCTCGAAATTTAAATGCGCTTGCGGGGAAAAACACAATAAACTAATATGCATGGATAATGAAGGTCATTCGAAGACTCCTTGTCGCTCGGTGACGCCACTTAGACAAAACAAAAGTGAGCTCGATGCCGCCGCTGGAAAAGGTGACTCAGAATTGAAAGCGTTGAGTGTTTTAAGTAACAAGAATAAACAAAAAAGAAAAAGTGTACTTTTCTCTACTGCAGAGATTTATGTCCGTGACGCCAATAATCGAAGAATAAAAATCCGTGCGATTTTAGACAGCGCATCTAATATATGTGTTCTTACAGATAAAATAAGTGAATGCTTAGGAATAAAAAGGGAGAAAATTAAAATGCCTGTTACAGGTCTTAATGGATCAATTCAAAATATTAAATGGAAAGTGAATACATTTATTTCAAATGAAGAATGTACCTTTAATGAACCAGTTGATTTCTTGATTGTAAATAAGATAACAGGACTAACTCCATGTACTACATTAGATATTTCGAAAGTAGAAATTCCACAATTTTTAAATTTAGCTGATAAATCATTTTATGAAGCTTCAGAGGTACATGCCCTTATAAGTGCTGATTTATTTTTTTAGGTTTTGAAAAATAATACGTATAAAATAAATGATGATTTATTGTTTATAAAGAGTCTGAATTCGGATGGATCGCATGCGGGAAGCTTAACGAAATACAACCTTCTTATCAGGGACATTGTTTTCTTGTGCAAAATGACTCTCTTCAAAGTACTTTAAAACTTTTCTTTGATTTAGAGGGACTTGGTATTCGTGATGATCCAGTTTGCATGAAAAGGATCAGGCAATGGAAATTTTTAATGACACCGTTGAATTTAAAAATGGACGTTATGTAGTACAATTACCTTTTAGGAAACATTATGAAGAATTATCTGATAATTATTCCTTGGCGCGGCAGCGTTTTCAGAATTTGTGGAGAAGATTTGGTCATGATCCTGAGTTACATCAACAATACCGTGAAATTATTTGTGATTATTTAAAAGAAGGCATAATCAGCATCGTAAATCCTGATACAAAAGAAAATGCTTTCAATAAGCCTATATATTATTTGCCTCATCAGGCTGTGCGGAAAGAAAGTAGTTTAACGTCGAAAACTAGGATCGTCTTTGATGCGGGTAGTCATCAAAATAATGAACTTTCTTTAAATGACTGCTTGTGGCCAGGGGTTAACTTAAATCCAAATCTTTTGGATTTACTAATTAATTTCAGATTGAA